CCTCACATAGAAACTGGATCATAATACAACAAGTCACACATTTTTCAATATTAATGTTCTTTTACTTCAATATACACTGTCCAGCTATGCTCTAGTTCTGCTATTCCTGGCCTATAGAAGCGTCCATCTGCTGACATGTGGTCAAAGGGAACCTCTGTGTGTTTAGCTGGGTCAGCTCCTGATATGATGTAGTGTCAACATTCGTCTTAACCCTCATGCACACCGCTTGACCATGTGATGTGATGGACTATACTGTCCCAGCTTTTCATAGCATCGTGTATTTACTTTTGTGACTTGTGACTTCATCACAGCTCGATTCTCGTTTTCTACATTTTACAGTGTCTCTAAAACCCTCTGGTTGACTTCTCAAAAACAGATGCTTTAATTCAGTGTTATGGGTACCAAGAGATGATATTCTCCATTTGATATGCAGTAAGTATGTGGTATTGGCGTGTAATATATATTACACGTTTTTAGGTTTAAGGTGGTCTTTATACTTTGTTTTGTTTGGGACGGGGCGGTTTTCTTAGTTTTACTGCATTTTCAAAGTATCCTCGAAAATTACAAGGTCTGTGAAGCTGAACGTTTACATTAGTAATCTAAGCTATGGTGTTCTCTGACATTTGCTTACACTTTCTGACCAATGTTAAACATCGCAACTTTGACCATAATTATAAATCCATTACCGATTATCACTCGGCCATACGTTCTTTTTTAAATTAAGTGAAATTTGGCATACTTGTAGTTAGTTATTGGGCCTCACATAATGTTCTCTATTCTTGCGATATTATTAATTTTGACTTTAACTCTACCGTTATATATGTACAGCTCAACATAGTTGGTGTTACATAAATGAAATCGATGTCACGGGCAATAAAACAAAGAAGGAGCAAAACTGAAAATTCTGAAAAATCTTAGACCCCACCACATATCAGCCTGTCTACATTGGGGAAAATTGTAAAAGAAAATAGGTTTTCATATATTGTCACCATGGTAACCGAACTTGACTAATAACAGAAATGGTTCGGGCAACATAAGAAGAAGCTGTCAGTGGTATGGTCCTTTCACCATCCTAATATAAATCTTATAGAACCATATGACACAGAAAGCTGAAACGTTATGGTGGAGGATAAACGGAAATTCGATTTTTTTGTAGCATCATTGTTTACACAAATTGCAAAACGATGTTGTAAAACGTTTTTCAACTGGAATATATGGCACCATGTTTTTTAGTAACTCACTACAAGTGATTTCACCAAACTAAGTCATGCAATTATTTATCGTCAGGCAGATTCTTGTGGTGCTGTGTTTTTATCTTTATTTGTTATTTTTCTTCGATTTAATAAATAGCCTTTATTATAATAAAAAGATTCGGAGACAATGTAAGAGCTGACGTTTCGAAAGCTTATGTAGCACTACCGTGGCACTGAGATTAAGAATAATCCTTTTTTATCTAAAACTGAAAATAGATTCAAATCATTGAGATTAGCACTGTCATCGGGCTGAAATGTTGTATAAAAAATTAAGATTCTCAGTTTGTTTGGGGCGCCATTTTGTGCTCTCAACTTAGGGTTTTGTTGTTAAACTAGCATAAAATTTTACATCGTAAAAAAGATTTACAAGCAGGGAGGATACTTTATTGGAATATTTGATACCTGAAGTATTAAGAATAGTATGTTCAATTCAGCCACTTGATCTTTAAACATATTTTAAATCTTTGTTATATTTTTTTCAAAATGTATATTTTTACCTTCTGTATTATGCAGGTGCGTGCTCTTGGTAAGAAGCGTAAGTGTGAATGTTCTAACTTTTGTCGCAATCGTGTGTGATTATTTTATAAACTGTGAAGTATACTTTTTAATAATAATATATTTGGTCTCTCACAGTGATTTTTGTTTTTCTTTATCTTTCTTACTATCTCACCCGGACTGAAGGTCTGGAGTGTTGTAATGGGCTGTCTGTCAGTTGGTTGTCCTTTACCTTTTCATTATTTTCCATGAACTCAACTGAAAATATGGAACTTAAGGGTGAATTCCCTTCTTAGGCCCAAGCAGCTGTTACATTATGAGACTTGCCACCTAGTGTTGGTGTCTAATATACATGATACATACATACATTTCCTTGAAAACTGAAATAGATCAAATTTGCTTGCTGATACTCCTTGGAACTTTATGAATACCTCAATCAATCTTCAAATGTTTTCGTGTGTGTTTCATTCTTAAATAAAGCATGCATGAGTTTTTAACTTATTAGCTCAAAAGCACTTAAGGACAAAGTGAGCCTATCACACTAAGCCTATACTATGGCCCTCGAGAAGTCCGGGTTAGAAATGCTTGTGAGGCGACTAACGTTGGCTTGGTTAATTCATGTCATTGTATCCCAATTACAAAGATCGATGTCCATGATGTCATGTCCAGGCTCGATTACAGACCACTGTCATATAGCTAGAATATTGCTGAGTGTGGCGTTAAACTACAAACAAACACGTCTGACTGTCAAACCGATCCCGGCTATGTGTCCATCACATCGTATCCAAATAGGCCCCTTGATCTGAGGAATACTAGACGGCCCCTGTGTTGCTTCTAAATGACTCAAAATGGCGGTTGTAGTCATCGGTATATTAGAGCATGTTACAATATTTCTAACTGAATATCAACCAAACTCATGTTCGACTATCAACCCACCTTTGCCTAGTTTTTACCACATCGTACCTTGAAAAATATCTTGAATGTTAGACGGTCCTTATTTTAGTAGACTTTACCGAGGTTCGACCCCTTGACCATCTGCTCCTAGTGCAGACATTCAATCCAGTAGACCACGGAGGCGGGCGAAACTAACAGGTGATGGTTGTATTTGCTCATATGTGTCAACCAACAGTTTCGTTTTCCAATAGGAACACCATTCCATTCAATTTATTCAATTATAGGAAGGTTTTGCAGAACTGTAGATCATGATGTAAATACCACTACTTGTGGCTGCAAAGACTCCTCCCACTGCTACCAACCTGTTGATATTATGATCACGGCTGACTTCTCTGTTATTGACAAACTAAAACAACCTTCGTCAGTTATTCAACTAACGTGGGCATCCTCCTACCAGTTGGCACCATTATGAATACTGTCGAGGCATTTATCAAAACATGGGGCAAAGGAGAAGAGGAACCTGTTGAATGTCTTTCAGAGTGGGTTAAGTCAGTGCATGGTGTTGTCATTGGTAGAATGCACAAACTGAAACAGAGGAAACAGAACACGAATAAACCCATTCTGTCCCAGCCATCACTCATTTCACCCAGACTTGCTTGTGTGTGTGCGTGCTTGCATGTGTGTGTGTCTGTGTGTGTGTGTGTGTGTGTGTGCGTGCGCGCGCGATTTTATAGTGCTAACCCACTGAGATACCACGCCGCAGTTTAACCTCACTCTGACACAGTATACTCCCACCAGTCCTTGTTTTATCCCCTTAATGCCGAGCGCCAGACACGGTAACAAGTACTATCTTTTAACGTCTTTTGGTATGACGCGGCCGGGGATCGAACCCCGACCTTCCGCTATCCTGATGGACGGTCTACCACTAGACGGATAGGTCTGAAAGTGTTGGAAGCAAGTGCAATAAATAGCACGTGGAATGTCAAAGACTCAAATAACTTACTTAATTTTACTTTGATTTTTTTTCAATCTCAGAAAACAACCAAGTCAGTTATGTCAAAACATTTGATTCTTCAACTTAAGGGAAAACGTCTTTCTACGAGGCATTTGTCACTAAACGTGGTGGTCATAGAGAGAGTTTCATCTCCATCTTGAAAGTTTCATTGATAAAAATTTTGTGAAATTTGTGGTAAGATATTAAGAGGGAGTGAGTGCGGGATTTGGGTTTTAAGCCGCTTTTTGAAATATTCTAGCAATATCCCCGCGGAGGAGACAAGAAATGGGTATCATAAATTGTACCCATATGGGGAATCGAACCCGGGCCTTCTTCGTGACGAGCGAACGCTGTAACCACTAAGCTACCGCCCCCAAGACATTGAGACAGGAAGTAGACATGCCCATGGGCACCAATTGTTCACCCCTTGCTAACCTGTTTCATCTTGCATATGAATCAGGATTTCTGTTCGGATTGGCAAAATTTATTAAAATATATGTAACGTATAATGAGGCTGGTGTTTAAATATATGTACCATCTGGTCTCCCTAAGGCTCTTTCATATTATATATATATATATATATATATATATATATATATATATATATATATATATATATATATATATATATATATGGTCTCCCTAATATATCTCTCTTTCATGATATATATATATATATATATATATATATATATATATATATATATATATATATATATGGTCTCCCTAAGGTTTTTTTACAATATATACCATCCGGTCCCCCCAATTCTATTTCTAAAATTATATACCATCTGGTCCAAATAAGGCGGGGTTTTATTCAAATTTATGCCATGTGGTCCCCTTTAGGCTGTTAATTTTTAACATATATGCCACCTGGTCCCCCTAAGACTGTTTACTTTAAATATATATAGCAGCCTATGCAGGTTTCGATGACATAAGTATGCAGTCTAATTGGTGTTCGTAGTATCTATATAAATAAGGCTATGTGCTTCAGGAAGCCTATTGATTTTGAAAAATTAGTCACTGAATAATAATAAGAGAGAGAGAGAGAGAGAGAGAGAGAGAGAGGGGGGGGGGGTGAGAATCGGGTGATGGTCCTGATTAGGACATTGTTACAGACGTCGACAGGCATATGGGTTGTCAATACTATATTGAACCCACGCGCTCAGTCATGTTGAAGGAATAATAAAGTTGTTTCTCACCTTGGAACAATCGATACCCCCCTCATACACCCCCTCTTTTTGTTTGCAGAATCGTCCAAATGAGGACATAATCCGCGATACACACCTTAAAATTAACTTCCTGAAATACGTCATATCTTGGGTAGAATCTACCCGTTACTTCCCACGTAAACTTACCATGAG